TCAAATAAGCAAAAACAATCAAAGAGGAGAAACATCATAAGGGAGTAAGAGAGAGCGAGAGTACAACGGAGATGGATTGGACATGGGGAGATTAGGACGAGGGTGGTTGATGGATGTTGGGGAAGGGAACAAGAGAAGTTGAAGGAGTTTTTGACTTACTTCATTAATGCGTTCACTATACAACATATGCACATATTTGGTGATATACAGTAGGATTCTAATCTCCTATAACACTTACTACTAATACCTACAAATACTTAGGAGATATAAAATGTAAGGTGATTCAACCATACAAAGATATTAGAATTCATCTACATTCAGAGATTGAAGAACATCAACTTCTCAATCTCAAAGAAAAACCAGAAATCAGAAGAAAATGTTGATCTTGACATCTTTATTCTGGAGTGGATGACAAACATGCCTGTCCTCCTTGGATTTAATAAGAAAAATGAATAGATGAAAATAAAATAAAAAAGACTTCGCTAGTTAAAGGACTTCGGGTTCAACTTTTCAGTTAGTCATGACAACCAGACAACATAAACAGGAGGAATAACACAAACTCATGATTCCAATTACAAGAAACGAAGGAAAAGAAGTTCCTTTTTTCTAAAGAAAAAGAAGGGAACCAAAAAATGAAAAATGCATTCCAATTAAACTTAAAATTTGCATATACCATTACTATTGAACTTGCGAAAGAGCACGACTAGGTCAGAAGAAAAGATAAAATCAATAGAAGAGAAACCAATGACCTAACTCTGGAGAACAAGACTCTTTCCAAGAATAATATCGTCTGTCTCGAAATCGGCTTCTTTCCTGAATGTCCCCCGACCAAAGTCTAGGTTGTAAGAATCTGCAAGACCGGAAACCAGGTCGAATTCTGGTTTCCATCCCAGAACACTCTTTGCCTTTTCAATTGATGTAAAGAAATGCTGCATTTAAATTGAGAAAATTTAAGATTTTAGATACGAAAATAAAGAAGGAAAATTTTAACAAAATGAAATCTGTCTCTCAGGAAAACTATCTGATTTCGATAGGCATATAACACAAATTTACCTGGTCGCGGAAAGGAAATGATTTCTTTTTACCAAAATCAAACTCCTTGGGGTTGTAGTGAATTATCTCAGGCTCGGGGAATCCAGCGGCCTGTTAGAAATATACAGACAATGACTTCGTTGCTAGTAGTAAGCTAAAAGACACTCTCTTCTTTCATGAATATATTTATTGGTCAGACATACCTTAGCGCACGCCTTAGCTAATCCATCAAAGGTAACATATTTCTCACCGGAGATGTTAAATATTTGCTTGCTTGCTTTTTCATTACCAAGAACCTGAACAAAAGCCCTCGCGAGATCCTGAAAATTTTCAATGGAACAGCATAAAAGTCAGTTTCACTTGCATAGATACAAATTTTCAAGTCTTACCATCAACTATCTTCTAAAATTGTGCGTGTTCGAAGAAAAATGAATGTGGCGTCTTGTGAGGTGCGTGTTAGAAGACAATTTACTTTTCTAAAGTTTAAGCTTTTTAAATGAAGTGGTTTAACACGACAGAATTATAAAACTTTGAAACCTAGATTGTTGTGTGGATGTCCCAAATTGAGTTCTAGGAAAAATGTAAAAGGGTGACAGAATACAAGGAATTTATGTAGGTCGGCACTTTAGCCTAAGTTCATCGGAAGAGACAAGATGAACTTCACTAAACAAAAGGGAAGAATACAAAACAGTATTGCACACTGAATCCCGAACCTCCACGAACTACTTACTATGAGACGATACCAACAGTACTCAGATCGAAATCTCCCCACCAAAAGTATGTACACAAGGTAGAATTGCAAAGGATTCAGAGTTTCTCACCAGACGATAGTCCAAGACTATCTCAAAAATGGAGATGCGTTCAAATAATAACCGGGGCTCCTATCTTAAGAGAACAAGAGATTGGCTAACTGTCCCTCTTTTGATGTTGGACAAATAAATAAATTCCTATTATATTACTATTTTATGTGGGATGATACAAAGTTGTCACATGACATAAATAATAAATGGTTTGTACTTTTGGATTGTGTTGAAATCTTCACCAACCTTTACATGACCAAGTTGTGTTACTTGCAGTCCTGAATTGGGAATTGGAATAGGGCGACCTGCTTTCAACCGGTGGAAGAACCATTCTTCAACAGGATTGTAGTTCAATGGTCCATAGATGTAGACTGGCCTAAGAGAAGTATAATTTACACCTCTTGATTCCAACAAGCTCTCTGTCTCAAGCTTTCCCTTGTGTCGGCTTTTTGGATCTACTGCATCAACCTTCAGTGGGAAACAGAGAAATTAGCATAGATATTAATAAAGACGACAGTGAAATCAAATCAGAGGCAAAAGATTCATTGCAATTCATGAACAGCTTGCACAAAAAAATACGAGCTAGACTACGAACCTCAAAATGTGGTAGATAATCAGTTTTGAGGTAAACACCGGCAGAGGAGCAGTATATGTACCTGAAGATTCAGTTGAACTTGATTAGTAAGTAGGCTTCTGTAGAATCGTTAAGTTCCAACATATATCAGAAACAAACGCTTAAATCAAGTTAAATGATCGACATAGTCCTTTCAATCAAGACCATAACAAGAAAAGGTCCACAAACATTATATTCGCATATGAATCTCATGATGCGTAACATAAGCCACGTTGGGGTTGGAAGCTTACTGTTCCAGGTTTGGTAATGCATCCAATATGGGTTCTACTTCAACTGCTTCACGCCCTGAAATTATGACGCAAAGATGCATAAGGAACTTAACTTTCTCAGATAAGCTAAACCGTAAGTGCATGTTTGATTTGCAAGATTGGACAATATAATGAACAAACATTTAGTTTCTTTTTCTTTCTTAAAGCTATCTATTCCTCCCTACTAATCATGTCATCAACTGATCATTGTTCACCGAGCAAGGACCAAATATCACTGATAAATGCATGAAGGACACGTCATAATGATTGGAGGGGGTTCCTCACCATTTATGTCATAAACGACATCGAATCCTTCTGCTGAAAGACTGCTCTTCACAAATTCGAAGTCTTTCCTGTCTCCCTTCAGGTGCAAGATCTATAAACACAAAATGCTGTTTCATTCATCCATTAAATTATATAGCAAGTATGTCTAGTATGTAGTACGCGATAGTATTGTCGAGTTCACCCTACTAAACATGTCATTAATGTCATCAAAAGTATGAAATACAACATTTTAGAAGTCTATATGATACATAACATACCTTGGATGAAAAGTCAGAAAAATCTGAGTCTGCTTCGCCAGGCAATTGCTGGGTAATGGGTGCTTTTCCTCTGGTAAATAGAGTTACCTGCACTTATTTCAAGTACTTAAAATCTTATGGATTCAAAATTCAAAACTTAAATAATGTAATAGTGATTTTTAAGGACTTTGATTAAACCTGATGACCCTCTTTAACAAGAAGTCGGGACAAAAATACACCAATAAATCGGGTGCCTCCCATAATTAAAATTTTCTTGGCACTTGACGCCGTGACATGCAATGTTCCTTTCGGCTGCCATAGTTTCCTTTTATACTACAGAAGAATATTCATAAGGATAGTATTAGAATTACCTCCGCACCATGTATATACAGAACAAACAGCTCATGAAAAGGGGATATTCTCAATTGTGAGTGCTTGTATTTATATCAAACTAGCAACGTTGGTAACTAATTTACCATGCATCGCCTATAAGTCGAAGCACTGGCTGAATATTTTACACCACTTAGGTACTAAAACAAGATGTCAGTTGGGTTTTCATAAACTTAATTAAGTGAAAACTACTCTCTTGAACCACCTTAATCTTTCAGAAAAGACGATTAAGTGGTCTCAAACTGGTAAAAGTCCTAATTCCAGTCTTGTTCTTACTCATTTATGAAAATTGTGTGCTTACTACATCTTTCACAGAAAAAGGTATATCGAGATTATCCAAAAGGAGATTCTTAAAACATGATTTCAATAATAAATGTGTTCTGCCTCTACGGCATAACTTATAAAACAAGGTGGACTCAAGCACTAGTTTCTGAATTGCTCGAACTACTGCGTGCCCATAAACGCATATAAATTAGGGCGGGACCAGAACAAAGCATCCATGGATGGATATTTAGTGCAAGACTTGAGCTGTTGAGTCTCGTGCTTTCATCTTAAAAAGTCAACATTGTTCAATAGGAATATCCCAAATAACCCAAGTTGGAGCATTGTTTTCTTCTCTACTAGATGTTCAAGAAAAGTACACACAGGATCATATATCTGATCTTCTCTCATTCTTACAATTGGGATATGACAATGGCTTCACTCTCACCACAACTTCGGTTATATCCATGCAGCCTCTTGTTTGAAACATGACCGTTGGTCCCTCCCATATTGTTAAGAATTTAAAAGACTAATATGCCCTGAGCAAGTGACAATTTGGACCCCACACCTGTGGGACCCTTTGAGCATATATTACCGCTACGAATTTTATTAAGTGCACCATATTTTAATTGCAGTTAAACTTTTCAATCTTTACTCATATTAGTAATTTTTTTCGTCGAATTCTTATTTTCAATCTTTCATTAATTAGTACATTTCGTCTTTAATGATAATTTTATCAAAATATTTTGTTTCAATGGTTTTCAATGAGATACAAATATTTTTTCTTACTTTTTTATTAATTACTTTTTTTAAAATATTATGAAAAATAAGTTGTTATACGCATTGGACATAAATTCTTATCAAGTACAAATATGTTAACTAATGGAAGATTTGATGATAAGAATGTGAGAATTTGTTGGGGGACATGTAATGCTATAACGAGTAAAAATTGACAAGTAATTACTGTAGTTTGAATATAATTATCCTTTCTAATATTCCCAAAATATCCTTCTTAATCGGACCACCGAGTTGGAGTCGAGGTGAACGAAAAAGAATTTCAGAGATCTCCGAAACATTGAAGAAGAAGAAGAAGAATTTGGGAAGAGAAAACAGTATGTTGCAGTGCATATTCCTTCTATCCGATTCGGGGTACACATCCAGATCTTCTTTTATCTCTATTTTGAAAGTAAAATGGAACTAATGATCTTGGAATCTTTTAATTGCGACTACAATTGCAAATGGGGATGAATATCAGCAGAAGTTTTTTCGGTTCGTAATTCTGTTGAAACATAATATAGATTCCAAATTAAACAAAACTGCACATGGGTTTTGCATATTCAGTAATGAACACTATGAAAAACTAAGATCTTTTATCGTAGCCTCGGTGTAGGGTCATTAATTCAGTTAAAATAGAAGATCTTTGTCAATAATCTGAATGATACTACATATAATTGCAGGGAAGTAATGCTGGAAAAGCAACTGACCGGCCACCGGGTTGATCGATCCATATGTGCGTGGTTCTGGGACCAAATAATTTCCCAAGGTGGTTCCTTGAAGGTAACCATCAAGTGTAAATTTACTTATTGTTATTCAACTATGAAAAGTTCAATTATATGGTTTTGTACTTGAAACCATTGTCAAATTTTGAACTTTTTTTTAAAAAAATAAATTAAAATGGATTGTCTTAGCTTGTACCTGTAATTGCTTCACCGACGCACTACCTATTCCAAGTTGTTCGTGAGGGGATCACCTTTTTGGCGTGCACCCAAGTTGAAATGCCACCTTTGATGGCAATTGAGGTGGGTACTCTTGGGCTTCGATTCCTGTTCTAACTACTTTTAATTCTAGTAGGTAAATAATTGCCCGAGGAATGTGTTTCGATATGCTTATTCCTGGAATTCTTGAAGTTGATGTCCTCGATATATATTTTCAGTTATCCACTAGCTTGTGAAATTAAAAGGCTTTCGTAGATGCCTCGTGTTCTTCTGATTTGAAGTACCATGCACCTGGAGATTGTCCACATCCTGCTTATTTTCTTAACAAGCTCAACCTACGTTTATCCTGTATCATCTCTTCTTATGAATGAACCACTTGTATTCGAAGTAACAAATATGGAAAATTTAACATTCTTTTAGAATTAATTGAATTTAATTTTTTTTTTGTATTCAGATTCTGCAAGTGACTGTTAGATAGAAGAGAAGTATAATTGTGGGAGAAGTGTGAATTTAAGGGAAGGATTCATACAATCATATATTCTAGGCTAAGGAAAAAAATGTTAAAATATATCTCTAAGTTCATATGATTATTGTGTTCATGAAGAGGTAACTCTCCGTCAAATTTATTGGAAATATGATTTAGAGCATGTTTGGGAAGTATATATAAGCATTTCAAATTATTAATAGATAGAAATAAGTGGTGGATAAGTGGTAATCATTTTGGTTCCCTCAAAATGATTAGATAAAAAGTGGCTTGGGCATTTATAAATAGTTTTTAAACATGAGCCAAACATAGGCTTCACTTGACTTCTGTTTTCCTCCCTTTAATGCTATTTAAACACTCTGTTGCACCATTCGAATCTGACTCTGAAGGTTCTGTAAAATCAAGTCCGACCAAATGTTAAGACTTCGAAACGATATTAATTTTTGTTTCATTCTCAATTAATATATAACATTGATGCTCTGCTTCATCTATGAGCTGGAATTTATGAAAAGAGGTCTTACGTCTGTGAAGGCTAACTTATGTTTTTAACCAGAAATTCATATGATGTGCAGCAGTGCTGCCATCCTAAATTGAAGAAGTGTCCCATAATTCCCATCTTTCATTTTGGAACCCTTAATCTTGCCAATGCCTGAGTTATGAAATCATTTTATTGCTGTCATACTGGATACCTCTCTTTTAGGTGACCTTTGTCTTTCTCTAGTTTGCAATGTCATGCAAAATCTTATAGATGTCTTGATATATACATTAAGTAGCAAAACTCATAATGATGTTTGACTTTTTTACTTCTAGTTCCTTTCCAGGGTAGCTGATGTCCTTTCAGATTATCTTGGCAGCTTAAATGAAGATTTGATAAAGGACAACTTTGTTATTGTCTATGAGGTATTAAAAGTATTCTGTTTCTGCTAGTTTTCTCCTGAATTGTCATGGATTTTTATTGAATTCTATACCTGTCTGTACTTGTGACCATTATTTTGGCTTCTCATTTTATATGTAGATACTGTGACTTGCATAAGTGTGACAGGCATTAGGGCTGTCCGTGGGTCGGGTCGATTCGGTTCGGTTCTGAAGAGAACCGAATCGACCCAAAACTTTCGGGTATTTAATAAATGGAACCGTCGGGTCCAAATTTAATTATGGAACCGTTCGGGTTCGGTTCGGTTCGGTTCGGTTCAAGCCGGTTCGGTTAGAGCCGGTTCGGGTCCGTTCGGTTTCGTACCATAATTTAATTTTTTTNCTAATGACATTTCATTCGTAATTTTTACAAATTAACGTAGCTCAATTTAAAAATATAATCTGATTTATTTAATTAATTTGCTAATTTGTTTAGAAAAAAATAAAATAATTTAATTAATTCAATATAAAAAATAAAAAAATTATTTAGTTTCGGTTCTTTTTCGGTTCTTGGTCTAGATCCGAGACCCGACCCAAACCTATCGGTTCTCGATTCGGGTACTCGTTCGAGTATTTAATTTATGAAGAATCGCTCAATTCGGTCCGGTTCGGTTCGGGACTTTTGGACACCCCTAACAGGCACCATGGTTGGAAATTGCATATCAGTCTTGCTAATAATATGAATCACTTTTAAAGTCGTTTCATCGATTTTCCTTTGATAGTCTTTGTCATGCCAGTGGAAAACTACTGATATATTTGGCTAGTCCTCGGATGGTCATGTTCAATACAGGCCTTGCAGTCCTGCTGTTGCTAACACTTCGAGCTTCATATTAATAAAATGTTTGTACATCAATTCTTTTATTTACTCTTCATGGTTTAACTTGTAAATCGTGACAATGTATAACATTTAAACTCATATTCTTAATTTTGTAAGTTCACTACTGATGGCTAATCACAATTGTTTATACATTAGAAATGGGTAGTTTCATAAACCCTGATGAGACAATAGAGAAAGGGAGAACCAACATTAAATGTGCCTATTATTTTTAATTCTTAGAGTGGAAGTATCAGTGACGAGGACAGTGATTTTGTTACAAATTGTAAATATGTCTGTAATATACACAACTGTTTTTTCCGCTGTATTTTGGAGCATAAAATTCAAAAACAGAAATGTTTTCTTCCTCACCCTTTTGTTTTGGGTCTAAATCTGAATGGCTAGTGATCAATGTGCTACGCTTTTTTGCACCTGAGCTCCAAGCTTGTGAATGCAATGATGGAGGTCAGGTATATGTTATGCAATACATTTATAAGCTATCAACTTGAGCTCATGTTCAATTTAAGGAAAACAGATATTTTCCTGTCTCAATATTTTCTTTTTAACTTCTTTGTGCAACCCTGGTGATGCAATGTTTTCTGTTCATCCATTTAACTGAAATCTGGTTGAAGTCAATAGTATCTACCTTTGTATATATGAACATATACTCTACTAAGTAGTCTCTATATGAATGGTCAGTAATCACAAACTCCTGATGAAAGAATCAGCAGGACGTTTTCTACGAGAAAAATTGCTTCTACATTTGCACTATTCATGGTCTCAGCTTCTATCCCTTTCCTTGACTAGATTCTGTTTACACACTGATAGAACTCCAAAGAAATCAATGTATATTTTGTTAAATTACTGAGTGAAAATTCAATGAATGTACAAATTTGACAGGTTTTCTAGACACCTGCCTCTCTTCCGCTTTTCTCTCTAAACTTCAGAATGAATATCCTATACACCCCCCCCCCCCCACCCACCCACCATTTTTATATTTTGGGTGCAATTGCATTCCAGAAGATTCCCAAACTATCACCTTTGAGTATCCCTTTATGCCTTTAACTTGATCTGCCCAATTTGAGCCTGGGATCATATAACATATCTCGTTCACCTTCTCTCTAGGTTTATTTGGTGCTCCAAGTGACCAGAATGCTTATTAATTTTTCGAAATTTGCATTACAGCTTCTGGATGAGATGATAGACAACGGCTTCCCCCTAACAACAGAACCTAATATCCTGAGGGAAATGATAGCTCCTCCGAACATTGTCAGCAAGGTTTTGAGTGTTGTCACTGGTAATGTGTCCAATGTGAGCAACACACTTCCGGGTGCAACAGCATCTTGTGTTCCATGGAGGAAAACAGACCTGAGGCATACAAGCAATGAAGTTTATGTTGACCTTGTTGAAGAAATGGATGCAATCATAAACAGGTTCATAATACATCTCTATCAGAGAAACTTATATGTTTCCCATGCTTTGATTAGCTTCCTGTGTTTAGGGAATTTATACTATTGAATGTGCTTTACTTTTCCTTTTATTTAGAAGTTGTAAGTTTAGCTTGAGGGAAAAGGTGTTATATCACCAGGCATGCATAGAAATGCACACTGAGGGTAGATAATTGACAGTCTCATGTAATGGTCATGTGGTGCATGTTAGGCTCTTGAAAACAACACCAAAAATTTTATATGCATTAACATCTGACATCTAAATTTTCTGAAACCGAAGAAATAAAACTTCAACTAAATGGTTGACTTTTTTCGAAACTCCTTAGACCATCATTCACAATACGAGGACATAAAAATAAGTATTCATTGATGCTGGTACTGGAAGTTGAAAACACAGAATTGACCTAGTGGCCGAAGAAGTATGTAGGAAACTACATGATATGTATGGTGGAAGAAATGACCAAGGAACTTCCCCCTGGAGGTGGGCAGGGAAGAGTGTTTAACTATCCTGAAGTTATACTGTGCTGTAGTGTAGTTTTCAATTCATTGTCTCAGCCATCAAAAGGACATTGTAAAAGCTTGTTTTCAGAAACTAAGGAAACAAGTTTAGGCGTGTTTATATTTTGATGTTTGACTAAATAGTCAGTGATATTATAAGGACATTGTGATTTTTAGTGTACTAAATTTATGTTTGGTTTTAAATCTGTAAAGTGCAAAGGAAGGAGCTGTTCTATGGCTGCTTCAGGTGCTGTTAATGGTTTTGCTTTTGGTGCAGTTAATGGTTCTGAGAACAGTCAAGATGTTGTCTGTATGTTTCTTGTGTATAACTGTGGCCATACTGACTGCAGAAGAAACGAAATGAAAAACATAGGCTTTTCCCTGATGCAAAAGAAAGAACATTTCTTGCGTGTCACTCACAAAGCTATGCATCAGAAAGGACCTTTATGAGCTCAGGAAGCTCTCCAAAGGCCAAAGGCACATTAACCAATATATAAAAAACTTTACAAGGATACTACATTTGTTAAATGGGGTTTTTGATGAGCATCAAATAAGACTCAGGTCCATGTGAAAAGGACTAGACCCTTAAGCGGAAACTTATGACTTTGTCGAATAGATTATAGGGGCATTGGATTCTCTTCATTCTTTGATTTACTCAACGGCGTATCTTTATCCGAGGTGGAGGCTGTATTTCACGGACTCGGAGTATGATTGGTGTTTTCTTTTCTTTCCCTTTTTTATTTTTGAAGGGAGTGGCGCAGGGGTTTTTTTTAATCTATAGTTGGCCGGTTTGTTAGCTAGTATTTTTGCAGACCAGTGGGTAGGAGACTAATTGTGATGTGATAGAGAAATTGCTCCTGGGATACCTCGTAATTTCAAGTCAACGAGCCTACATTCGAGCAATTTATCAGCAAAAATCTCCCCTTCCATCTACATAAATCATATTTATCTTGAATACGTAATTACTAAAAGTGACTCATGTCATGGCAGTGTGCATTGACATAGACCAGTTCCTTTTGAGGGACTAAAAAGATTCCTAATCCCAACTCCCATGACTTGGAAGGAAAAGGATGAACTTGACCTTAATAACTACGCTATTAATAAATGCCTCCTTGTTGAGTTTTCTTTTGAAGTATTTGTTAATTAAGTATGTGCTTGGATTTCCTTCCCTGTATCTTCGAGCTAAAAAACAAATTAACAAACAAAAAGAAAAGATATAATTCTGGAATGATCACATAGAAGTACAACTGAAGAAAATATGTTAAACCTTTAGAATCATCCATCTTCTTGCTTCCAAATTCTAGCTCGAGCTTTATCACTGCTCACTATGAATAGATGCATAAATTCCTTCATTTCTTTCCATTTTAACTCTAGTTGGTCTGGCAAGAAAGAAAATACCTGCATAACCTAGTTGATTATGAAGATGAAGATGAAGATGAAGATATCGTGTCTTTGTATGTGATTACAATCAAATAATGATGAGACAAAATAATCCCCATTAACCTTTAAACTTGAATTGTCTGTGGACTTTACTCGAAACCTTTTTCAAGGTGTACAATTGGTTAAGTTACAATATTTTTTGCTTCTCAATTCCTTTGAATGTGGTCTTCCTGGTAATACCTGGCACACTCACATGCAAAGGCAGTATAATTTGGAATCCAGTGGTAAAATTTGGAAACTTCACTTTGATGGATTCTTTCACTCATGATTTTTTTGTAAAAAAATTGCTAGTTTTTGCGGTTCCTATTCTAAACTTGCCTACTTTTTCTTTGCTTTGATGCTGCTCAGGGATGGGACTTTAGTGAAATGTGAGATATATGGCGAAGTTCAAGTAAATTCTCATCTCTCAGGTCTTCCCGATCTCACTCTGTCATTCGCAAATCCTTCCATTCTTAATGACGTGAGATTTCATCCTTGTGTTAGACTTCGACCATGGGAAGCAAACCAAATTCTATCCTTTGTACCACCTGATGGAGAATTTAAGCTCATGAGTTACAGGTTTATGGTGCTATGGAAATAATTTTTACTTGCTCATTTATGTTCATAATGTAGGTGCAAATTATAATATGAGGTTTGCACTTTTTAGTTAAAACATTTGTCTTAATCTCTCAGGGTTAAGAAGTTAAAAAGTACTCCAATATATGTAAAGCCACAACTGAGCTCGGATTCGGGGACATGTCGTATCAGTGTTTTAGTGGGAATACGAAATGATCCTGGGAAGTCAATTGACTCGATAACGGTTCAATTCCGACTGCCTCCTTGTGTTTTATCTGCTGATCTTTCTGCCAACCATGGAACTGTGAACATCCTTGCTGATAAGGTAATTCGTTATAATAGTAATTTCGGTTAAAAACACTTAGTCACCCACCTTACTGTGTTGTTTCATTTTAGTCGGTCAATTTTTTTCTGTCTTACAATAGTCACTCAACTTTCATTATTATTTCAGTTTAAAATAATGTCATAGCATAAAAATCCGTCGGTGCGTTATTTTTATCGTCCAAGTAGGCATGCGTAGTTCTTTCCTTTTTCTGTTCATTTTTTTTTTCTTTTATAAAAACCCATTTTGAAACCTATGATGCACCGATACGGACACGTGTGTCCGACACAATACGTGTTGGATACGCCGACACGCGATTTTTAAAAAAAGTACAGACAAGACACGTTATCGACACGTTGATTAAATTTTTCATTTATATAGTATAAATTTAGTTTTATACTTGTTATTAATTTTTCTTGTTGAAATCTTTTAAACATGAATATCTATTTGCTACTTGCTAATATTTTTGAATGAACAATATAAAATATTTCTAATATAAAAAGAAAAATGATTATGGTAAAGTGTTCGAAAAGTGTCGGTATCGACTCGTGTCCGACGGACACGCTACCCTAATTGAAGTGTCCGTGTTACAAAGTTTGAAACTCTTGTCCAACAATATGTTTATCTAGCTGGGACAATAAAAATAGTGCAGTAATTGATTTTTTAAGTCGCATCACAACCTCAAAATTTCCATTAAAAACATTTTTCGGAAGTGTTTACAAATGGTTTTGTTTATAAATAGATAGAAGAAATAAGTGACAGATAGGTGGGTAGCACTTGTAGGTCCTATGAAATGTGTGGATAAGAAGTGGTTTGAATGCTATAAACATGAGCCTGCCATAAGCTAACTCGGTAGAACGGAATGCCTAAACTGAAACAAGATATAAGTTTGGTGATTATCTTGGAACGAGATCCATTGTCATTATAGAGCTTGTACTTGTAGTTATCTTAGTCCCTGTTTGACACCCATTCTATTTCTCTTTTTTTTTTATTTCTTCATTTAAACCACACATTATATCAATAAAATAATATTACATTTAAACTCAAAATTTTTTTTATAACTTGTTTTGACAATTTTGCTTATCAATTAAGCCCCTGTTTGACACTCATTTTTTTCTCAATATTTTTCTCATTCTTCATTTCAACCACACATTCTATTAATAAAATAATATTACACATAAACAAAAAAATTCTCATTACTTTTTAACCACACAATCTTCCATAATTCACTATTCCAGAATTTATTCTTTCCCCAAAATGGGTGTCAAACACAAGCTTATTGATTCTTGATTACACTGTCAATTTTCAGCAGACCAAATATTTGATTGAACTTATCTTCGTAAGGGGCATGATATGTTTCCGAGAACTAGTTATTTTATGGGATTTTTTAATTACTTTAGATTAGGAGCATCATTATGATAGAGACTCTACTTTATGTTGGCTTATTGATTCTTGATGACATGGAGACCTTTTTCTTCAGACTTGCTCTTGGTCAATTGGGCGGATTCCGAAAGATAAAGCTCCATCAATGTCGGGAACAATGACACTAGAGACAGGCTTAGAGCGGCTCAACGTATTTCCCACCTTTCAAGTGAGTTTCAGGATTATGGGTGTTGCTCTCTCTGGCTTACAGATAGATAAATTGGACCTAAAGAATTTACCTTCGAGACCTTATAAAGGTTTTCGAGCTCTTACTCGGGCAGGCGAATTTGAAGTGAGGTCTTAATGTTACTGGTGTCATTTCTTTTGTACGGTTATCTTGGTGCAATTAGTACATTGACTTTGATGTTATATGCCTTGCTTCTGTACTAAATATGAAAAAGAAATAATTTTTTGCCTTATTGTGTAATTGAATATCGTCTTATGGACAATGCTACATGTACATCCATTTTTTTTACCTACACTCACAGTAAAGTGTGGGGACCACACATTAGGAAATTTTTTATTTATGCGTGCCCTGCACGCATTGGAGATGGTGTAACATTTTTGGTACAAAAAATTCGGTACAAATGGAATTGTCCATCGTCTTATACCACATACTGAATGTGCTTCAGTCTGTATCTTGTCAACCCTTGGCCGATTCATCTGGTTCCCGTAGTTTGAGCTCTTCAGATTTACTGGGTCTCTTGATTTTGGCGAAGCAGTTCTTAACATATAACCATGTTAATTTATTTGCTGGTTTTGTTTTGGTGATATAGAACAAAGACACCACAGAAAATGGGCGTGTTTTACAGATTTATTTCAAAGAAATGATGCACATGTTTCTGCACCTATTTAATTTATGAACCTAACTGGTCAAATTTATTTTTATTCACACGCGTGTTATTAAGATTTATAAGTACTATTCACTTATCAATTACTCATTTCTATCTATTTGTAATTTATTTGCAAATGAAATCTATTTCCAAACAAGCGCTAAAACCTCAGTTTTGCAAATGAAATCTTTTGAATTTGAGAAATTATTTGTTCTTTTTAAATGAATGTTTGGGAAGTGTTTATGAACAGTTTAATTTATGAATGGATATAAATGAGTAATGAAGAAGTGGATAATACCTGTGAGCTCAGCAAAACATGTAGATAAAAAATGATTTGAATATTTATAAACAAATTATAAACATCAGCAGCCAAACATAGTTAGATAACTTTGCATTTGTATATATATATACAGAAATGATCTAATGAGCACCGATGCTCATCTTATCCTAAGCACTAATGAGTTGGCACATTAATTCATTGATGGATAAAGATTTTGTGAGTTCCAATCCACCAATGAATTAATGTGCCAACTCATCGGTGTTTAGGATAAAATGAGCACGGGTGCTCATTAGATCATTTCTG